ATGAGATCATCCAGGACATCATTCAGGGGACGAAGAAGAGAAAAGCCCCTGGACATGACGAAATCTCAAATGAGGTCCTCAAAAAGCTACCGAAAGCAGCAATTGAGGACCTGACCACAGTGGCAAATGCAATCTTGGACCTCCAATACTTCCCGAACATCTGGAAAAAGGCAATTGTGGTATTGGTTCCGAAGAAAGGCTCAAAAGGGAAACTGCTCACGTCCTACAGGCCCATCAGCCTGTAGGACGTTACGTTATTAAGGTACACAGAGTGTTGGACACTCTAGCGATGTTAGCACTAAGGATCCATAGATTAAGTAACAGTAAGAAGTTTGTATACTTAGCTGAAAATAAATATGTTCCAAAGCAAAAGTCTTAGTCGGAAAGTACGGGAGATCACTTCGCCCACTGCCTCATCGCCTTTGATAATGTCCACCGCAGTTGTGGACGAAAGGTCAAGAAAAAAATCCCATGGACCACGGCTTCAAAGCCCAAAAAGCCGAGCGCTACAGGTCAATGATAACTAATTTTGTTTGGCCCGAATTAAACGATATGGTAGTAGACGACATATGGTTCCAGCAGGATGGCGCTACGTGCCACACTTCAAACGACACGATGGACATACTGCGAGAACGATTTGAGGGTATGGTTATCTCTCGCAGAGGTGATGTGAATTGGCCACCATGATAGTGCGATTTGATCCCGCTCGACTTTCTTGTGGGGTTTTCTGAAGTCAAAGGTGTATGCCAATAAGCCGCAATCAATTGAATCTCTCGGATACGTGCCAACGTGAGAAGCCGCGACGAACATTTGAACGATGTCATATTGCATACATAATGTCATACACGGGACATGCAAATAAAAACCAAATTTTGTTAATACCTCACACATAGCTTATTTTGTTCCATTTCAACATCGACCCGTCCCTATTGGAAAACCCTTTAAAAGTAGACTCCTAAAGGCGATTTGTTCCCATTATGGTAAATCGGGCGTTGTGAAATACGTCAAATAATGTGTGCTTTGTGAAATATGTCACAAACTTAGTTTAATTTGTCAACGTAATATATTTTTTACAATTTTATAAATCGTGCTATTCGGTTTTCCGAATCTCCATCTTTCCTCGATTAATGTAATTATTTCAGTTTTTTCAAATAATTTTTAATGTGGCAATTTGAAAATAAGAAAACTAGTCCGTATTGTCATTTGCACAAAGGTAAACCGAGGTAGAAAGTCAGATTTACAAAACAAATAGAGGATGTTTTTTACGAGACGTACAGAAATTTAAACTGAAATAAAAGTCACAAAAATCATGTTAAGGTCAGGGTACTGGCTTTATTGAAAAGGCAATTGTATGCCATTGTAGGTTATTGCCCGGTTTCTGAAACGATCTTTATAGTTCCAATAGCTTAAACGGATCTATTGGTCGGAAAAATGGGTTTCTGAAACGTTCGATAAGAGCTAGCGGTTCGTTACCTTGAAAAACCGCGTCGCTCTCGTGCCGGGCTTCTGGTAGATTCCGTTATTGGTTCGATAACTTTCGGTCCGCTAAAGTTGTAGGTTCTATAAATTATGGTGGGTTTCTCAACGTGTCTAAACGTGAAAGCTAGTGATCCATAACTATCGAGTCTGTAAAGTAGGCAAAGTCATATAACGAAGAAGTTGTAAAGACCGGTTAGAGTGACTTGTGTTACCTCGTGTTATCAAAAAACTTTGTCCGGTCTATTTTACTTCTCAGATCTGGATCTGGTGGTTCCATAAGTTGTAGGAGCAGCGCACGCAAGCGTATTTGCCATTAGTGTCGAAAGTCATACAAAATCAGCTGCGAGCAGAGAACACGTTTTGGGAAAACAATAATAACATTTTTGGGAGCAAAATTTCTCTGTGAAATAGAAGCAAATTTTTTGAATATAATGGAAAATTCCATTTCCGACTCATCTGACGAGAAAGTTTGCTATGTTATTAATAGTGAAATAATTCGCCATTTTCGAGCACGGAATGATCATTTTGAGAAATAAATGAAGATGAATTTCGTTTTCGTTTAACCAAAAACGT